CCCGCAATCTTTAAAGATGCATGCAGAACTCTTATCAGCCCGTCGCGGTGCACTTTCACGTCGGTCTTGAATAATGCATCGGAGAGACGGTGCAAGTGGCCTCGGCGAGGGTGCATAAGACGCGATTAAAGTTCTGCCAAGTTCCGAGCTCTTCTCAGAACCACCGTACTTATGATTAATTTCAACCGTTCTCCATTACGAGGGAAGGAAAAAAATTCCAACTCCGAACTCCTTCGTCCTCGCAATCGATGGAAATAGGAGAATTAACGACACTTGCACGCAATCCCGCAAGACTTTCCGATGCACTCATCAATTATCGACGAAGGGCGTTACGAAAGATTTAAGGGGAACGAAGTCCTCGAGCTGAGAAAAAAATTAAACATTCAACTTTCTCGCGTGATAGGTAACAATACAATTTTTTTTTTAGGAGGGTAAGAAAGTAAGTTAATTAATTATTCTTTGTATTAAAAGATGAATATTTCTTTCGGTACTACTCGTAGAAAGATTTTTTAGGTTCGATGACACTTTTCTCGAAGTATAGACCGAAAATCGAGTGCGTAGAAACAGGTGAGGAGGCCCCGGTCGTCGAATGCGCGTCTCTTCCTATTTGCAGTCCCTGTCCACGTGGTGTGTCGATCTTTACCGTTAGAGCGGCATCGGAGGCTCTAAAAAAAAGTTTCTCTCCGGTTTCAGGAACGGCGTTTCCGGCTGAGGTCATCGCGAACCTCCGTTCTAACGCCGGTAATGCAAAACGCCCGAGAGAGGTTCTTACCGAGAAGGAGGCCCCTCCTCGTCCGATTTTCGGTCCGAAAATTTACGAAACACTTAATGAGTCGTCATTACGGTCCCTCCTGGGAGATCGGGCCCTAATTGGCGGGTTGGAAAATATCGGGTGCGTGAAGTCACTTTTGAGGGACCTCTTCGACCACCGCCTCGTGAATGTCGGACGCGAGCTGTACTTGGCGCGAGACTCTGCCGAATTTTTAAAAAGCCGATTCCCCTCCATAATAAATGAACAATCATTAAATAGGCTCGTTTCCTCGCATCCACAAAAAATATGCGTAATCTCCTATATAGAAAATGAATTCGTCCAAACGCAGAGTGCGTAGACCCGCGGGCGGTAATGAGGCTCCTAAGAGTCATAGAGGTATAATTTTTAAAAAGGCAATTCTCCATAATAAATGGGCAGTGATTAAAAAGGCTCGTTTCCTCGCATCCGCGCAAAATATGCGTAATCGGCTAGATGTTAGAAAATGAATTCATACAAACGCAGAGTGCGTAGACCCGCGGGCGGTAATGAGATTCCCAAGAGTCATGCAGGTACCAATCGAGAAGGAAGAATTAGGTAGCAAGGACCGCGGTCTATAAATAAACGAGAAAGGACGGCGTTAGGGAGCGACATCCCATGATTTAGAAATGCGGAGAGAAAGTCCCCTCGACTGGACCAAGAGAGAGGAGGATGTCTTAGATCTTGCGAAACCGAGAAGAGTGGACCATCTTGTCGTCGCTAGGGACGCAAAAACGCGAGACGGATACGGGAAGAGAAGGACCGAAGATGGGATAAAAAGGAAAAGAAAAAAAGAGGACCAGTCAGCATCCCCTTCGAGGGCGAATCTAAGTCGCGAGATCGATCGCGATCTGGTCCCCCTTTTTTTCTGACCGACCTGCGGCAAATCGGACGGAACCGAGAAGATCGATTGTCATCGATCGATGGACCTCTAACGATCGATCCGACCAACCGAAGTGCCGGTATCGATTCGGCATCTAATTCCACGGGATGTCGATGACCGATCCAGCTCCTCGCCCCCGTTTGCAGGTCCGGCTTAAGGATCCTCATTAAAACCATTCCTTTGTAATGCCGAGTCATTTCTAATACCTCCGATGTCGAGGATCGTTCGATCGATCGGCTCCAATGGATCCGGAAGTCCCGATGCGTGGGAAAACGTCTTCGGGACTTTAAGGCAATGTCCAGGAAAAACGAATTCGCCAACTTGTCATTTTTATTTTTTTTTATTTTTTTTTTCGCGGTCACGCAAAGGCTCTACCGTGGTAAGAAGTAACGCGTGACGATCGAGATGAAATTTTTCTCTCGTTCTCATGGAACGATTTAGACAAAAGATGCCGTTGATTTCCCGCTCAAGATAACGAGTCTCTTTCCTATGCGAGATAATAACCGAGGAGTAGTTTGGATTATCTTCGAAGTACCGGTACACAGGTTGTCGGTTGTGAGAAATGTTGGTGGCACCTAAATTACTAGAACCTCCGTTAGGTTCCGACCTAACTGCTTCCGCATCTCTCGGCGGCGTTTCTGATGCGGCGTGCATGGTGTACCGTTTTAATTCCCCGAAGAAAAGAGAAAAAGAAAGAGACCTTCTCTTCGACATCTCACGATTGTCCAAGATTCTTCCGCGTCAATTTCGGTCATACTACCACGTGACACATTTTTCCCCAATATTTACAATCGGCGTCGTTAACTTCGAGGGTGCATCGGGGCCGCCATCTTGCGGTGGCGATTCTAGGCGCCGATTAGAAGAGAAGATAAAAATGACGAGATAACAAAAGAACTTCATTCCAGTGAAATGACTATTCTTTGAATTAGACATTTCTCTTTGGTACTGTTCCATGAATTATTTCTTCTTTTTTCTCCCCGGGGTATTTGGGGGAAATTCGAAGTCGTTAACCTCGGAGGTGCATCGGGGCCGCCATCTTGCGGTGGCGATTCTAGGCGCCGATTAGAAGAGAAAATAAAAACGGGCTCCAAACGCCCTCAGGTGTGGAGACGGAGTCTATGTCAAAGTCGTAAAGTGGTCACACCTCGGTGATCAACGTGTCGGGGCAAAGGATGTCGCAATCGCTGCACCGTTGCTTGCATCCTCTTTGTACGAGGTCTACGAGACCATGCAAGCGTGCACTAACGACATACGAGGAGCCCTGCTTCGATGGCTTTCTTCGCGGCACTTTGTCGATCCGAGTCAAAGAAAATAAAATTGACGAAAATCGGGAAGCGAGCGAGAGCACCGAGGAAGTGTCCCATTAAAGTGATTATGAAAGGGTCATTCAATATATCGAAATATAAAAATATAAACAGAGCCCACCGAATCATTTGAAACTTCATCTAGTGATCATGAAGGCCCTAAGGCAAAACGCGACGCCGGTGAAATTTCATTTTTTTTTTTTTTCAGAAATGTTTCATGGATATTTTCACGTCTCGATGTATATCGAATGACCCTTTCGTGTCACCTTAATTCATTTGCGTCATTTTAATTGCTCATTACGATTGCCCCGGGTTTGATATACCGTTTTCTGACGTTCCGCGCGTGATTATTCATGAAAGGAAGCGAGGCGCCATTTTAACGATCTGTAGCCCTCCCACGCTCTTTTTGGGACGCTTGGGAATCCGTGTCAGTTCACGTGGGAACTCGAGTCACGCGTGTCCCATGAGACCTGGACGATGAAAAAAGCCGAGACGGATCATCGACTTTTCACTGGCGATCCCTCCTCCCTCCATTATTTTCCCCATTTAATCGCATTCGAAAGGAAAAGCGCTCCCTCGCGGCAACAGGTGTCCCGGAGCTCGCGATACACCTGTCATCGTCATCGAGTTCCTACCTTAACGAGGAACGATTTAATTTGCATGAAACCGTAATTACGCGGAAATTATGCAGGGAGAGTAGTCGATTTTCGGCTGGCTACACATGTTACACGATATACCTTTACCGCGTAAAGAGAAAAAAATAAATACGGAAAAACGTGGGGATTTCTGATCGACTGACTGAGAAAAGAAAATTGTCATTGTACCAAACAGGGCCCAGAGAAATATTTTGTTAATTAAAATATCAGTTATATGGCCGAAATAAAGGGGAATAAAATTGAGACGACGTTTCTTCGGAACTATCGCGTCATAATTCGGTCTGTCGCCGATAACGCGGCGGGATGCGATCGGATCTGGAGGGAAACTCGACCCTAGGGACCCCAGGGACTGTCGAGTCCCTGTTCCCCTAGAAAGCGGTGCACGCTCGAGAGCTCTCGCTCGCGATGGAGGGGACCAGGAGTTGCAACACCCACGTGGGTCCACGTGCAGCATCCCGTGGTGCAACCGACCTGCATCTCTCGAGATCGAGCGAGCTCTTACGAGGGACATGTCGCTCCGATTATTCTTTTTTTCTCTCCCAAGGTCCCAAAAAAAAAAATATACGATCTGACTACATCTCAAGGTGTCACAAAACAGTCATTCCATATATCTCGAAAGGTGAAAATATTGATAAAACTTTTTTCCAAGCTAGTTGCACCGAATAATTTGTTCCTCCACCACGTGATCATGGAGGCCCTAAGAAAACACGTGCGCGTATATTAATATCGATTAATCGATTAGTATGCAGGATATAAAGAAATTCGAGATTGCACGGTATAATCGCGTTATCGCGCCTGACGGTGCGCTCGGCGATACCGGCGATCGATCGACCTATCGATCGCTGCATATCGCGCCGGCGAGTTCGGGGGTTCAATGAACTTTTGAATCACTCGCGTACCTCGCTACGCGATTCGCCTCGCGAATAATAACCGGCCCCGAGTTGCAAGATAGCCCGCCGCGAGTTATCTCCGACAGTGTTTGCGACCCGAAGGCAATGAGAGAGAGAAAGACGGACGGATGCACCAGCGCGTGCGCTAGACAAGGACCGACCGAGAGTCCTCCTCCATATCGGCGCGACTGCACCGCGATCGAGCGATAACCTCGAAAATACGATTTCAACGAAATCCAGCCGATTAAAGGCAATCATGTGACGCGATGATTTCTCGAACCTCCGCGCGAAATTCTCATCCTATCATTTCCTTCGAGAAGACACTTCGCCAATATCTGATAATCCCCATTTCCTTAAAAATGAAAACCGGTAGATGGAAGTCGATGATTTTACACGTGATTCCAAGGGATTTAAATCATCTCCTGGATCGAATAATGATATGTAAAGGATGAGAGAAGAAAAGAAGTCGAGGACACTCACCGTCCGGCGTGGTGACGGTGCCAGCCTTGTTCACCTTGGAGTTCCACATGGCGGGGGTGGTCGGGGTAGGGTTGAGGTCGGAGGTGGGTTGTGGGGTCGGTGGCAGGGGCACCATCCCGGTCCCCATCTGCACCCCATGGGGGTAGTGCTCCCCCGGCGACCCATAGGACCCGGCTTCGAATCTCCTCCTGTCCCCGCTGTACACTTCTCCGGAGAGCCGCTCCACCAGCTTCTCGGCCCTCTCCCGGTCGGAGATCGCCATGGGTTCCTGTTTGATCCGCAGATCTGCCGAAAATGATAAACATAGATTATATCACCAAAGCCTTATCAAAGCATTTAAATAATCGCAAAACATTCCTCCAAACAAGGTGGACCGAATTAATTCCGCACCGAAAGGGTTAAGGAGAGTCTCTTACCTTCGGCCACGCTCTCCTTGCGCTCCCCGTTTCCTCGTTCCTCCGAGCGTTCGCGTTCCAACTCTCGTTCCAGTTCCGTGGGGGTGTGCGGGGCCGTGTGTGGGTGCGCGGGCGTCTCCGAGGGGTGAGGGAACGGCTGATAAAGATGGTTCTCCAGGAGCAGCGGATGCGGCGCGGACGCCGGCCGGAAGGCGGTTCCGTCCCTCAGGACGCTGGCTCGTCCCAGGGCGTCCACGTCGCTGGGCGATCTGGTCGTCCGGACCGACGGAATCCAAATAGGGTCAGAATCGATCTCACCCCAATGTCACCACTAAGATGACCACTCAACGAGTCTCTCGCTCAAAAATGTATTTGGCTCGAAACTCCACCGAGTATCTTCCCGTAAACCTGGGGTGAAAGAGGTCTCGCGACACTTCCCTCCTTACCGAGTGAACCGAATCATTCCAAACCCCTCACCACGAACACAGTGGCCATAAGGAAGGTTCCGACACCCATATAAATCCTTAAAAAAATGTCTACAAAAAATATCAACTTTCATAAAAGTCGCGACCTCCCTCACAGCCTCCAGGTTCACGTAGCAAGATATCCAACGACTCGGTACACCCACTTCGGGGAGAAGCGTCACAAGCTGGACCTTTTTGGGCCACAATTTTTTTCTTTTTCTATTCCTGTGTTTCCACTCGGAAATTATTTTCCTCCCTCGTTACGTGAGTGTACCATTTCAGAGGGTGGGTAAGAGGAAGGATAGGAAGCGACGCACTCACCTCATGTGTCTCTTCTGAGGGCTCTCGTAGTAGTGTGGGGTGGAGTAGGGGTTGGGCACGGAATAGGCGGTCGCGGGGGAGGGAGCCGGGGTGGGGGTCCTCTTGTTGGACCCCTGGGGCCCGGCGGGTCCCTCGGCGTCCCCTGCCCCCTGGCCGGGGGCGGCGGCGGGGGCGGCCTCCCCAGGCGTCGCGTTACTATTTTCCGCGGCGTGCCTCTGCGCCACCGCCAGCTTCTCGTGCTCGATCGACAGACCCTTCACCTGAGGAAGGAAAACGTCAGACTGAGGGAGAAAAAAAAAAGTGTCATCCACCTAAAGGGACATTCCTTTAAGGGGAGAGGAATAATGAGAAGATGGGAACGTCAATCGGGGGTGAAATCGGGAAGACGTCACCGGTTGACGGATTGGAGCTCGTACGAAGGGAGGAAGAGGAAAAAAAAAAAGAGACGACCCGAAGGGCGTTGTTACGTACTCTCACGTTAGTAACGTAGTAACGTATTTTTTTTTTCTTTTTTTTCAGCGTACCTGGAGGCACTCGGCGGCCTTGAGGAAGGAGCTGAGGGACTCCTGGGAGACGTGCACCTCGCCCCGGTACATGAACTCGAGGAGGGCCGCCATGTCGTGAGCACTCGTTCCGTCCAGGATGACGATGAGGCCCGCGGGGGAGGGCGGCATGCCCTCGAAGAGCTCCTGGAAGTGCTTGCTGCACGCCGCCAGGATCAGCCGGTGCGCCTTGAACGTGACTCCTGCACGGAAAAAAAAATATATATATTTATATTTATATTTATATTTATTCCTGCCATTACTACACGGAAAGGCATTTGCACTTTTCGCAAAGGGCGGGATTGCACGTGAGAGGTGGGCCGGGTCCTCCGGAGGGACCCTCTCCAGGGTTCCCGGAGGGTTCCCGGAGGGTTCCTCGGGGTCCTCCGGACGCCTAGGAGCCCACAATTAGCCAGGACGAGAGGGCCAATCGTCGCCTCGAGTGGCGTGCCTCGTGCACGCGCATTCGCCCCGTCGTTTACGCCATTTCTGTCCCCCTTCCTGGCCGAGGGTGCACCAGGGGGTGCACCAGTCGGGACCGCCACCCTAACGAGACGACACAACGTCTACGGAATTTCACTTTTCCCTCTTTAAAGGACTACTCTCCCAATTGAAGGAAAATAATTAATTAACCGAAACACGCTACTAAGTTGCTTTTTTATCGTCCTCGGGACGATTCCCATTTTTTCTTTCACCAGGAAGGAAAGTCCCGGGATGGCCGCGGGGGGTCGAGGGGGCGAACAAAGGGGCCGTTGTCCGCCGCCATCTTTTCGGTCCCCCGGGGCCCGAAGAACGGCAGCCGGGCCCGACCGAAGGAATTCGACGTCCGAGGAGGAAGCGGCGACCGGTGAACCCCCCTTTTCTTTCCTTTTCTTTTTCTTTCTCTCTATTTCTTTTTTTCCACGCGCGTCGCAAAGGAACGTCGAAAAAGGACGGAAAATATCACCGCCCACGAGAGAAGAGTTTCCGCCTCGAGAGAAAGACCTGCCCCGTTCCTGCGGCTAAATTTCCGCGTCCACGTGTGGATAAAAATATTCGCTTAAAGGGACGAAAGAGGGTCCGACGAGCCGTGAGAAATCCGCAGTCGCTTCCAAAGGAGGGTTTACCCCCGATGTGCCCGACTCGATCGGATAACCTCTCTTCGGCATCGCTCGAAACGAAGACCCCCCGCGAACCCCCCCTTAAGGTGTTACGAAGTATACATTATATACGCGATATAACGAATAATTATTTTTTCACGCCTAATCAATCTGTTCTTTACGTGATAACACAGATACACGTGGTCTCTCCGGATGCATAGCTTTGAATTTTAGGTTAGGTCTTCCTTTCGGGAGTGAGCAGAGTCCCGGTATTTTTCTCACCTTTCCTAGTCTCATCCGGATAATTATTGCGAGAGGGGTAATTGTAGGGAATTGCCAAGGAGACTTTTTCGGAGAAATAGAGAGATATAGGGGGAAATAAAAAATAGGGGAACGTTTCCTGCCACCTGGTGATCTCGTCCTTTATCTTTCCCTCCGCCCCCCTTTCCTTCATTTTCATTTCCTCATTCTCACAATCGGCTTTAACCCTTTCTCACGATTGCGGCGCCTACGGGGTTCTCTCTGTCGTCCGCTGATTCCATAATGCGTGACCACGCACGTGAATCGGGTACCTAATGCATAATACACGAGCGACGTCACACGGTGTCACCCGACGTATCGCGTTACCGCGTCCCACCCTGAGAAAAGGGAATTTTTTTTTTTGTCTCTCATTCAATGAAATTGATTTCCTTGAATGGAATTAAAGGAACGTAGCGTTAAGTCAAAGAGAACCCTCGAAAAATGTCGAATGTTTACCTGCGATGCGTTCGATCGATCATAAATTAATATTTTACATTATTATGCATGAAAGCGAAACTAAGACGTTATGTCAAAGTGTCATCTAAATCAATTCATACAGGAAGTGCTCGTCGAGGGTGATCGGGATTAAAAATAAATGACAAGTGAGATCTCTCGTATCTATGCACGCGAATATTCTACCGCGCATGCGCGCACTCTCGAGGTCACGGTTGGCCCGTGCTCTTCGGGGTCAACGACCGCCTCCCGGGCGCGAGGGTAATCGTGCACATTCGCGCGTGCGCGCGGGTGGCGGCTCGGATTTGCGGCGAGCGTGCGGAAACGCGAGAGTTCCGCAGGCCGAAGACCCGCCTCCGCAAGGTCTCGAAAAAAGATACCAAGCCCCCCCGAAATATGAATATGAGAAAATAGAGATCCTGCGCATAGCGAAGAAAAGGATTTTGAAGATTGACGATTTCTCTGGGAAAAAAAAAAAAAAAAATCAGGAATCTCATCGCGTGTCTCGATGCTCATAGAAATGACCCTTTCGTGGGACCTTATTAAGAGGTTAGGAACCACCGCCTTACCCTACCGCAACGCCTCTGGTGGCCGAAAGTTGCACGAACCGTCATCCAACAACCGAGCTGAGTACAATCGCGTTTGATAAATTTGATAAATTGGATAAATAGGGTAAATTGGATAAATCCGATGCATAGGATAGATAAAAAAATAAACCTAATAAATTGTATAAATCGGATAAAAATCCCACGGTGCGGAGGCTCCGCAAAAATAAACTGCCGAGGATTGCGCAACCGAGAGCGCAGTGCACTTCTCGTGGACATCTATTCATATCTCAAGGCCAAACTGTGGGAAGCTTCGAAAGGCCCGAGGCTCGGCCCTCGGTCGAATATCTCTCTCTCTCTCCTTCTATCCATTCCGCCTTTTTTCCCCGCCCATTGCGCAATCCCCACCGCGGCGGCGCGTGCAAACTTCCTGTGCACGTAAATCCACCGACAAGCAGACTCGTAATTCACGGAATAGCTCCGCCTTCCGAAATCCGAGCGATCCCCGTGATAAACCGGGAAAAAGATACAAGAAAACTGAAACCTCAAGCATCCAAGTTAAAAAGGGACACCCGAAAAAACCCTAAATATTATTCCCCCCACCTTCGCGTTTCGCTTCTAAAACGATAATTTAATAAACGTGGAATCGACGTTGAATATCCCAATTTTTTCCCCACATTACGATTAACAAATGAATCCGTTGAATCGGTCAAATAATATAGCCGTGCCTCCTCGGATGGACGCTACAGAATTTATCGTCGCTGTAAAAAATCTTGCAACTTTATTTTTTTTTTTCATTGGCAATATGCATTTCTGAGCAAAAAGGTCGACAGCCCGTAACGTTTCTCGCGGGAATTAAAATTCCCGGATAAGACTGCGAGTCGTAATTCCGCGTGGGATGGAAAAGTGGCATTGCGAATCCCGTCAAATCGTAGGCCCCGCCCTGCGTAAAGAGCTCGCGTGGTGCGTACGGGCCGGCGCCACGTGCAGCGTGTGTGCCCGAAGATAAACAGGAACGGGGAACGATTGCTAAAAGCCCACCGTGTCCTATTTTTACGATAGTATCGGCTTCCCTCCGCGAAACCCGACGAGCTATTCCGCCTGGGCCGACTTGCCAGGAGATTAGAACGTGGAATAAACGTCAAAAAAAAAAAAAGAAAAAAAATGAGAGAGAGAGAGAAGGGAAAGAAAAATCGGATTTTCAGGTTTTATCCCGAAAGAAGCGGGAGAATTCGCGTGGTATGGTTGTCCGAAGGATGCACGGCCCGAAATACTAGGACAAATCCCAGAATGATAGCAAGGTTGGCAACTCCGTCCCAGGGGGAGGGAAGAGGCCCCGGTCAACGGCCAACGCGAAGGTCGCTGCAGAGCAGGGGACCCGAGATTTCCGTTGGGCCGGCCGCGCCTTCCCCTGGATCCGGGGAGCCAGCCAATGGCCGCCCGGTACCAAGGTTAAGACTCTGCACGTGCTCGCCGGACCTGCAGAGGAAAACCATACCCCGGGAGGCAACGACACGAAGTGACGGAGAGGGACCCCCGCTCCCTGGGAAACAGGGGGGAGAGGAGGGAGGGATCGCGCGACTTCGAAATGACGCACATCTCCGGCGCATGCGCGAGATACTCCTTGGCCGAAACCGCGGAGGGAGGGGGCTTCCGCGGCGGAATGACCGCGGCCGCTTTTGCGGAAATAGAGGAGGAGCTGCGTTAGGTATGTCGGGTAATGTACGTATTTCTTACGTATACATTACAAAGTATAAATTTTTTTTTTTTCTCTACGTTAAATATACGCTTTATAGATATGTCGATTTTACGCGTTATCCGTGTACGTTGCGGATGCGCTTTCTGAAGCTCATGGATCGATCCGTCGAATTTCTTCGATTGATCGATTTTTTTTTTTTCTTTTTTTTTTTTCTATACCGCGCGCACGTGTCGACCAAACGACGCGTCGCGTTATCAGAGACGCGAAGGGTATCACGGCCGGGTATTCTCTCCGCGTGTTTGGCTTTCGCGGCCGAGACGCGCGTCTCTAATTCCGACTGATAAGCGTCGCGATCGCGTATCCGTGCCCGATCCCGATCGGTCTCGATCGATTTCGCAAGGCCCCCTTGGACGGCGAACTTGGCCCGATTCACCTGTTCGCCTCGCGCGCCGTGAAATAATGCAAACAGCACACTAAATCGTAGTGCCGAGAAAACCTCTCTCCTCAAGGAGCGTCGAGGCATGAAATTGAAAATAATACCCGGGTACAAATATACCCGAGGACGATTACTCATTACCCGGGACAACGACTTCCTACCGAACGTTTCCCCCCGACCAGAAATATTAAGGCGATACGAAAGGGTGATTCTATATATACAAAACATACATATATCTCACCGTCAAAATATTCATAAAAATTTTCTTATCGATATTCACGCGTCATATATATAAATTGACCCTTTCGTATCACCTCAAAAACAATTCGTCCCACCTGGGGGAAATAGGTTAGGGTTACCAGGTGGAGGCGTTCGGAACAACGCGACGGTGGCGCCGCCCGGCCTGCACCTCGGGCAAGCGTCTCCCTCCTGGCCCGATATGGAAGACAAAGGAGATAAAGTCGGGCGGAGTGAAACAAAGAAAAAAAAAAGAGGAAGAAGAAGAAGAAGAAAAAAGGAAAATGGCGCCGACGCCCGGAATAGGCGCGTGCGAAGCCGCGCGAGGGGAGCGGTGCAGAGGGTGTCAATGGCCGGTATCCTGTTGCATCAGAGGTCAGCCTTGACTCCAGGAAGTGTACTTTGCCAGCCGTCCGCGTGTTTGCGTTCCAAGTGCGTTCACTCCGCGCACGAG